GGAAAGCAGATATACAGTCTTTTCCTTAGTGTAAAGGATTCTGCTAAGGTGAATGCAAGTCAGTGAGAAAGCTGCATGTCAGTACTGTACTGCTAGCTGCATGCATCATGAGATCTATTCTAGGTGATGTTTCTTCTCTAGGAGCAAGCCTAGGTTAACAAAGCAGATATACAATCTTCAAACATGATTTGTTCAGTGACTGCTTTTAACTATAAGCAAGATAACTTTAATTTAAGCAAAAGGACTACAAGATACTGAATTTAGTCATGTGCAATTGCTTTGCTAGATCATACATGTAGCTCATACAGCACATAATCTATAGCTTGCTTAGGCTCACCCCTTTAATGTTTTACATTCTATATTACAGTATATGTAATATACTGATATAGGTTCTTAGTCGCCCAATGCTGCTTCAGGATCTCAGGTCTTGGGTCTCTCAGCCCTTGGGAACCCTGAGAACTGGGTTCTCCCTATAAACCCCATGGCATACCAAAGCTAACCGCAGTGATGTTCTATGATGTCATAGTTTAAAGCACATGTGGTTGAGCGCCCAAAGTGATAATTCTTCTTTTAAAATGCTAAAAGAGCGAAATCTTCTGATAATGATGGCCTTTATGAAGACTATTTGACTCCAGCAGCTATTGTACTGCTTATCAGGAAGAACAAGACTGTTTTAAGAGTAAAACAATCAAACAACACAGCCTAAATGTCGGCCATGCCTCTATGAAATCGTTATAATACGTCATTAGTGATGTACTACATTTTTCAAATTTCAATGCAGCTGCTTCCACTTCCAGTCGATTCTCAGTTGGGACATAGTATAACAAATAACAGCTAGCTCACAATATAGATTAATAAAAACATTAATTCCTCTATTATCAACAATTGAAATTTTGAGACAATTAATGTTTTTATTCACAATTGTAATTGTTAATAAATTCAAAAGTGATGTTTTGACTCAATCTTGCATTCTAAACTTTATCAGCACAACTGAGCTTGTTATACAGTGACAGTTGCAAACTCTTGCCTTTGTGCATATCAGTTATTATTAGTATTATTATCAGTTATCATCAGACTGTGATGATAACAATAGTAAATTTAGTAATTCTCAGAGTGTCACTATTCCTATTAAAATTAGCTCTTTTTAGATTAACTGAAGAAAAACAAGAGCAAGTCAAGGTTTGATATTAGATTCCTTTTCATGTACTATCAATTTGCATGTATATCATAACTTGCATGCATGTTATGAGCATCATGTTACAATCATATCATAACATGCAGACTATTATGGGTCGAGTAAAAGAAAATCTTGAGTCGATCCTTACAGTGAGAAGGACCCCATCTCCCCTTCGATTACGAAGGTATGAGTATATTAAATACATTTTTTGATATTGATAGCACTTGTAGAGCTTGTGACGGTGACAATCCATTTATTCTAACTGGCCCAACTGAGCCATGCTTTAATCGATGCTCAAATAACTCTGCTATTTGTAGTTTTTTTCCAGTACCATCAGATCATTTTCAGGTAACTATTGCATTGATTTATTCCATAGACCATGCTAACATTAAACATGAATAATTAATATTTACTCAAAATTCTACAAAACTGCTTGCATTCAGTTCCAAATTGAGATGTAGATAATGAGCTAATGAACTCTGAATAACTAACTTTTGTTTATATAAAGCGTTGTGTGGAATGCAATGGAGACAGGAGCAATTGTGTTGAGGCTTACAGTAATGGACCTGGTCTTGAAGATACAGACCTTGCTCTCTATGTATATGGATTTAGTATGTTTTGTGGTGCTGGCACTATTGCTTATGCCTCATCCTGCCAATTGGAAGATCAATATGACCGGTAATAAACTTTCTTTTTTAGAATTGTGTTCATAATAATCATCTATAATCACTATATTATAGGCCAATAGCAGGAATTATTAACTTCTGTCCATCTGATACTGATGATGAAGAAGAGGTTTTTCAGGTTGCAAAACATGAAATTTTTCATGTGCTTGTAAGTGCTACTTTGTTGTACCATGCACTATTAATTGCTTATGTCTAACAAAAGTGCATGTCTGCTGAAATATGAATTACCCAATAGCATAACTGTTCTACAATTGTTTACGATGCATATATGAACTATTTTTTTCATTTATCTTTGCTAATATTATGTAGGGATTTTCAGATAACTTATATCCATGGTACAGAGATGAAAATGGAAACCCAAGAACACGTAGAGATGCCAATGGTAACCCACCTACTGATGCCAATGGGTTAGTTAAATAGTATTGTAATGGCACATTTATGATCAAATAATAGTGATTATGTAGCAGATGAAAATACAGTTAAAATGGTAAACATAACTGACTGGCAGACAAGATTTGGACCAACAAACAAACCAGTCATTCAATTAGTTACTCCAAAAGTTGTGGTATGCATAGTGGCAATAGTTACGCCCTCTAATGTATTTATGTACAAAAATTAGGAGGTTGGAAGACGTCATTTTAATTGTAATACTTTGGAGGGTGTTCAGTTAGAGGATCAAGGTGGTGGTGGCACTGCTGGATCACACTGGGAGAAAAGATTACTAAATGTAAGCACATGCTGATACCTTGTTTGTTATACAATTTTTAAATATTTTGTCCAGTATGAAGCTATGACTGGTATAATATCAGAAAATATTGCATTCTCCAACTTTAGTTATGCACTGTTAGAAGACAGTGGGTATGTTAGTGACTGTCTATTTATCAAGAGGAATTATTGTAATTATATAGTTGGTATAAAGTTGACTACAGTAATGCAAGTATACTAGTCTGGGGACGTGGTGATGGATGTGGATATACTGCTGGTTCCTGTGGAGGATATACTGACTCAAAGAGAAGACAGTATGCATTACACTCCTATTGAAATAAGTATCATTTTATTTTAAATAGGAATCAACCAATAACTCCATTCTGTGATTTCTTTACCAACAATGAATCTAATCCTCAAAACCTATCTTGCAATATAGACAGGACAGCAGTTGCTTTTTGTAACCTTGTGGATAATTACTTATATGTAGCATCTCACATTTCTATACCTCCAGAGTATCAGGTAGATAGAATAAGCTTTAATTGCACAATAATTATTTTTTATAATTTTAGTATTTTAATTCAGGTGCAAATTTTAACAATTCAGCACCTAGACTCCCATTTTATGGTGGACGTATCCATGCAGCAGACTTCTGTCCATATTATCTTGATGTGGTGAATATAGAAATTTCCAATGGATTTAATTTTTTATTATTAATTATAGTATAGCCAAGCACCTCGAGGTATATGCAGGAAAGGGATCCCTTTAAGTAATATTTATAGTATAATATTGAATATTTATATCATGCAATAGCTGCTAATAATGAAGCAGCAGAGACATATGGACCTAGGTCACGTTGTGTGGATCACTCTGGGAAGTGGCAGATCACTAATGGCTCAAATACATACACTGCCCAATACAGTGCAGGATGCTATGAGGTATAGGCATAAAGACTGCTTGTAATTTTTTTACAAGTCTTGTTCACACCTTGTTCACACCTCAAGGTGTAAACAAGGTGTCAAAAAATTACGAGCAAAGAATTTTGAAGCAAGAGAAATTGGCCTCATCTGATCCCATTTATAGATACAAGCATTTCTACCACATAATTATGTATTGTAATTGGGTTTAATTTGTATGAATTTTATATGCTATTAATTGTATTTGCTGTGTCTATTTTTTGTAGTACCAATGCTCCAATAGTGCTGTCATAATAATGATTCTTGGACAGTCATACAATTGTAGTAGAGCTGGTCAAGTGGTATGATACTCTTTATTATATATGTACGTATTGATTGTTTCATAGATACAAGTTGATCAGACTGTAAATGGTGTGAGGTATCGTGGAGGGATTGTCTGCCCATCTTGTGTTGAGATATGCTACGTAAGTACCATTCTTGTGTAATTATTATTTTAACTGTTAATAAATTAATTCTAGGATGATTTTGAAAATTGCCCAGAAGCTGGTAAGAAAAAGATTATCATAATAATACTTTTATTTATTTTAATATTAAGCTGAGTTATATGGAGCTCCTCCTACTGACAGTGTTGGAAGTCTGCTGCCAATGGTTGGGCTGCTTTTTGTTGCCATCTCTGCCTCTTTTGCCGTCAACTATTAAACTTTATTAGTGGTCTGTGTGTGTGAGCCTGTAGTAGTAGTGGTAGTAGAGACTAGTAGTAGTTTTTAGGAACTTCTTAGAGTTTCTATTTTGCTTTTAAAAAGATGTTTTGAATATTTGACATTGAGCCAGCAAACTGATAATAATAATCATAATGCAGTTTGTAAAGAACCATGTAGCTGTGTCTGTCATTAAAATGCCTATAAAAATATGCATGTAGTCTGGGTTTGCATGCTGCCATTTTCAAATGTGAATAAAGGTTTCAATGTGAATGCAGTAATCTGATTGGTGTCACCAGACTTTCCTCATTTCAGAAGGGGCTTGAACAGTTACTTTGTTGTATCGTTAGCTCATGTTGCACATAACGTGTGTGTTCCATGTGTGATTTGTTTTGTATTTTGTATTGATATACTTTGTACTCAACTATAATTATAATTTCTGATAAATCTAATTTAATACATGATATCAGGAACTTAAATAAATGTGGACTTTGAGGAATTGTTGATCCAGCTAGATGAAGTAATAGTAGCACTGCTACTATTACTTCATTCTGGCTAGATCGAAGGAGGGGTTCACAACAATTCCTCAAATTCCATGATGTACTAATGTACTATAGACTTTTAATGATATTCATAGTTTATTCAGCCAAACACTTTTTACCAACTAAAGTTTACATGCACTCTATGATGTAATGCTTTTTTGCCTATTTAAACCACTGAACAAGCTTCTAGACTATATCAGACAGTTTGGTGTAAAGCAAAGGAAACAATTAAGATGAGGAGTACAAGCTATAACTTCTGCATCTTGATTTTGTCTCTTGCTCTGGCTAATACAGTTACCAGTCATTATCATAAATGTTCTCATGACAAATTTCCTAAAAAGGTAGTGCAATTAATATAGAGCCCCTTTCAGTTTTGTGTTGTGTTAACAGTTTTTGATTCGAACACACTTAGAAGACTTTGCTGATTCTAAAGCTACAAAGAATGTTGGAGGAGATGCTGCTTTTAATCAACCGATTCGTATCAATATCCATTACAATTTTACTGCATTAGAAGGAGAGTAAGTCTAAATTTTATGTAGCATAATAATTGAACAAACAGCATCCACTAGGCAGCTTCATTGCTGTCTAATGTCAGTGGTTGAATGAGCAACCATGCTGCCAGAGGTAGAGAGACTATCTACTTGAAGCAATATATTGCCCATGCAACTTCATCAAAAATACTTGCAATGAAGTTGCTGAGTGGATGTCCCTTGACAATATTCAGTAATAATAAGAGTAATTAGATAGTAATAGTACTAATGTCAGGAGCCCATGAAAGAAGAAGGAGAAGGTACCCTTCTCTTCTTCTTTCATGGGCTCCTGCTAATGTTCATAGAGTACAATTATTTTAATATCATTTTGCCAAGTCATTAATTTTATTATCATTTAAACTTTAGACTATCATTGGCACAGCAACAGCAAGTGAAGGTTTGATAAAGTTTTACATTATTTAAATTTTTATTATCATTAATCAATTGCAGTCTGTTATGAGTCATGTCAAAGAAAATCTTGAATCGATCCTTACAGTAAGAAGGACTCCAAATCCTCTGAGATTACGAAGGTAAGACCAGTCAACATACATACAGTTCCTTATCAATCCAACTTTTAGGTATTGTCGTCATGACAAAGATGATTTTGTTCTAACTGGTCCACTTGAACCATGTCCTGATCAATGTCTAAATAAATCACTTCTTTGCAAGCAGTTTCCAATACCAGCAGAACATCTACAGGTAAATACAGCTTTGATTCAAGAGAGAAGCTGGATTATTTTACACATACATTTTAGCATGCATCTGCTGAGGATTTTATAGTGTTGTTGTTAGCATAGAGTATTTAAAGCCCAACATACACTGAGCAACTTTGTTGCCAGTACCTTTGATGTGGTGAGGCAACTTGTTGCCAGAAGTTGAGAGTCTCTCTACTTTCTGCAACATGTTGCCCAGTGTTGCTCAACCACATCAAAGGTCTGACCACAAGTTGCCAGCAACAAAGTTGCTCAGTGTATGTTGAGCTTTACTGAGATTATATATGATCTGTGTTTGTGTGAATATGCATGTAATAACAATATCAACTTTTGATGCATTCACAGCATTGTGTGGAGTGCAATGGAGACAGTAGCAATTGTGTTGAGGCTTACAGTGATGGACCTGGTATTAAAGATACAGATCTTGCTTTGTATGTGTATGGTACTGCTGATCATTGTGAACCGGGTGTTGTTGCTTATGCTGCGGCCTGCCAATTAGAAGATCAATATGACAGGTATAATTATTATCTTACATAGTTTGCATATGGGTCAATCATTTTTTATTTAATAGACCAATATCAGGAGTTATTAATTTCTGCCCAACTGATGATATTAGCGATGAAGAGGAAGTTTTTCAAGTTGCTAAACATGAAATTTTTCATGTTCTAGTAAGTTAATTCTGCCTATAAACATACCAAAAGTGCTTGTTATCATGACATATAGGGATTTTCAGCTAGCTTATATCCATGGTACAGAGATGAAAATGGAAACCCAAGAACACGTAGGGATACCAATGGTAATCCACCTACTAATGCAAATGGGTTAGTTAAATAGTATTGTAATGGCTCATTTATGATCAATATTATAGTTATTATGTAGAAGATGAAAATACAGTTAAAATGGTAAACTTAACTGACTGGCAAACAAGATTCGGACCAACAAACAAAATAGTTATTCAATTAGTTACTCCAAAAGTTGTGGTAAGTAGTAGTCTTTACTTATACACATACATGTACATGTAGAAAGTTTGAGCTGATTTCAATCAAAATAGGATTTTAAAAAAATTTATAAAGTTACTCAAAAATTGTGTTAAAGTCTCTGTACTATATATATAGTTTCAGGACTTTGGCCAAATTTTACCAAAATTTTAAAGGAAAAAATTCTGCAATTTTATGATTTAAAAAAAAACAAATACATGTATATATTTATGTTGCTTAGAAGTTTGAGCTGGTTCAGGTCAAAATTGGATTTTACCATTTTTAAAGTTGCTCAAAAATTAGGCCAAAGTCCCTGTACTACAGCATAGGATTTCAGGCTAATTTTTGCCAAAATTGAAAAGGAGAGAATTTTACATTTTTATTATTTTATCTTGTGTAATAATTATTATAAAAGCCCTCTAATGATTAAATAAACTACTATAGGAGGTTGGAAGGCGTCATTTTAATTGTGATACTTTGGAGGGTGTTCAGTTAGAGGATCAAGGTGGTAATGGCACTACTGGTGCCCACTGGGAGAAAAGATTACTAAATGTAAGCTCATACTGGTAGCTTTGCCCATTATATGCAATAAATTTTTCACAGTATGAAGCTATGACTGGTGTTGTATCACAAAATGCTGCATTCTCCAACTTTAGTTATGCACTGTTAGAAGACAGTGGGTATGTTAATGATTGTATATTTATCAAGATGAATTATTGTAATCATAATAGTTGGTATAAAGTTGACTACAGCAATGCAAGTATACTAGTCTGGGGACGTGGTGATGGATGTGGATATACTGCTGGTTCTTGTGGAGGATATATTGACACAAAGAAAAGACAGTATGTAATTTCAATGCTGCTACTATTGAATTGACTATTTAAATACAACAGAAATCAACCAATGGCTCCATTCTGTGATTTCCTTAATAGTAGATTGCATCCTCAAAACCTATCTTGCAACATAGACAGGACAGCAGTTGCTTCTTGTAACCTTGCGAGTTACTACTATGATTTACCTCGAGAATATCAGGTAGAAAAATAAGCTTTAAATTGTGCAATGATTATTTGAATAATTTAAGTATTTTAATTCAGGCGCAAATTTTAATAGCGTGGCATCTGGACTCCCAATTTATGGCGGAGATGTTCAAGCAGCAGACTTCTGTCCATTTTATGCTGATTTGGTAAATATAGAAATTGCTGATAGATTTTAAAATTATTAATTATAGACTTATCGGGCACCTCGAGGTATATGCAGGAAAGGGATCCCCTTAAGTAATATTTATAGAATAATATTGAATATTTATATCATGCAATAGCTGATAATAATGAAGCAGCAGAGACATATGGACCTAGGTCACGTTGTGTGGATCACTCTGGAAAGTGGCAGATCACTAATGGCTCAAACACATACACTGCCCAATACAGTGCTGGATGCTATGAGGTATAGGCATAAAAATTGCTTGTAATTTTGTTACAAGTCTTGTTCACACCTTTTTCACACCTCAAAATGTGTGAACAAGGTGTCAAAAAAATTATAAGCAAAAAATTTTTTGAGGGTATAATCAATAGGCTTAATCTGATCCCATTCACAGAGTACAAGCATTCCTAACACATGATCATGTGCTGTAATTTTTTGTGGGTCTAATTTTATATCATAATTATATGCTATTAATAATTGTATTCACCATGTATATATTTTGTAGTACCAATGCAATAATAGTGCTGTCATAGTAATGATTCTTGGACAGTCATATACCTGTAGTAGAGCTGGTCAAGTGGTATGATACTCTTTATTATATATGTACATATTGATTGTTTCATAGATACAAGTTGATCAGACTGCAGATGGTGTGAGGTATCGTGGAGGGATTATGTGCCCATCTTGTGTTGAGATATGCTACGTAAGTATACTTATCTATGTTCTGTATTACTTTAACTGTTAATAATTATAGGATGATTTTGAAAATTGCCCAGAAGCTGGTAAGAAAAATGATTATCATAATGATACTTTTACTTATATTTATTATTAAGCTGAGTTATATGGAGAGTTTGCAAGTCCTGCTCCTCCTACTGACAGTGTTGGAAGTCTGCTGCCAATGGTCGGGTTGCTTTTTGTAGCCATCTTTGCCTCTTTTGCCATCAACTATTAAACTTTATTAGTGGTCTGTGTGTGTGTGAGAGACTGTAGGTAGTAGTAGTGGTAGTAGAGACTAGTAGTAGTTTTTAGGAACTTTTTGGAGTTTTTTGTTTTGCTTTTAAAAGCTGTTTTGAGACAACAAATATTTTATCATTCACTTAAATCACTAATGAGAAGTGCTCATATGGATATATAGCCTTATATATATTCCTATCCCTTTTATTCTGGGTACTACTGATATCAGTTATCCTCATTTTTGCAAAACTTGATCTCCGTTTTGGATCAGGTCAGCTCCACTGCTTCATATTCTTCTTCAGTGTCATGCAATACTTTGTTCATGGCTCTTTTCCATCATATGGGCTCTACGCTGTAGAGCTAATACTAACTGGCTTCATACAACTGGATCCTAAAATGTTTGGACTCATAAATGTGTGTGCACCACATAGCCTTGGGCCAATGCAATATGCTGCTGTACATTATGTCAATCCTTTGTTTCTAATGGGAGCTATTGCTCTACTCATCTACACATCTAACAAGTGGCCCAAATATGCTATTTTTATTGGTGACTCAAGTTCGGTCAACATGATATGCATTGCCTTGTATCTCATCTTTTTCTCTCTCACCCAAACCTCACTATCCATCTTAGAGCCTGTCCAGTTTTCTGGAATCTCAACCATGTACGTTTCACTAGATCCTACCCTGGAGTACTTTGATCTAGAAGGGCATTTACCATATGCTCTTGTAGCCATTGTAATACAGCTTTTCCTCGTCCTACCATTTCTATTCTTACTCATCTTTGCTCCTTACCTGATACGAATCAAGAGACTTAATCTAACACGTATTAAACCACTATTAGACGAGTACCAGGCCTGCTATAAGCAGAAATATCGTAGTTTTGCCGGTTTCTACTTGACCTTTAGGCAAGTAATATTCTTTTTCAATTTATTCAATTTGAGCATCTCTGGTCATATATATGTCCTGCAGATAGTCTCTGTGCTTTTCCTAACTGTTCAGTGTTCACTGCTTAGTGCAACCATATAGTAAGAAAAGGCTCAATGTACTTGATGGTTTCTTAATGCTAGATCTGGTCTTATTGGGTATTCTTCACGGAAACACTGCTAACATTGTCTTTGATGACATCCAAGTACTCAAAATGATCATAGTGTACATATTGGTGCTTTTACCACTTGCCTATATTGTGTTTCTTTGTGTTATTCATCTCTTTTACATTTTGAAGTCAAAGCTTAAAGCTAGACAAAATGGAAGGCAAAGATTAGAGGTAGAAGACACAAGAGAAAGAGTTACAGCAATCACAAGGTCTACAGCAACAAGATCTTCAGTTTCTGTTACTTATGACATCAAGGATGGTGATGATGCTATATTTGTTAACAGGTTAGAGAGAGAGCCGTTGCTCTTTGCTCTGAATGATGATGAAAGTACTGGCTCTGATACTAACTATGATACAGTTCGTAAAGAACCAGCTGTGTCTATTATTGAATTGTCTAGAACTGCTGGAGATGTTTAAATTTTAATGTAGTTGATTCCTGGACAGATATTAGACTATACTGCACTTTATGTATGTGTGTGTGTGTGTGTCTGGCATTTCATGAGTCTGTGTATTTGATGTGTCATTATGCTATGGATTTTATTGTGTTCAATTATCAGGAGTATTCTTGTTGTTATTAATATACTTTTCACTTTCAGTAATCACACATTTTGTGAGTTATAAGCAATTGAATATACAATGTGAACTTATTAGGTGAAGTCCTGTACACAGTAGTATGTACAGGGATAGGGTGTGGCGGCCAATAATATTCATAGTTTGTTTTATGATATTCTATATATAGTACAATAGAATGATATGCACTTAGATAATGTAATGCACTTTTGCCTAAAGCCACTGAGCCTCATATACAGACAGTTCAGATAGGAAGATGAAGGGACCCGCTGCAAGCTATAACTTCTACATTTTGATTCTGTCTCTGGTTCTGGCTAGTATAGTTACCAGTCATTATCATGAATGTCCTCATGACAAGCTGCCAACAAAAAAGGTCAGTAGTAATAGCTCTTTTTATCATTAATTTCATTGACTGTATTAATATGCAGTTTTTGATTCGGACACACTTGGAAGACTCTACTGATAAAGCTACAAAGAATGTTGGAGGAGATGATGGCTTTAATCAACCAATTCGCATCAATATTCATTATAACTTTAGCTTTTTGGGAGTGTAAGTGTCATACTATTGCCTCAAGTTAGCTACTGATCAATTGTCCCTTTGCTTGCAAATTAATGTGGTTTAGCAATACTTTCAATGGCAATTTTATGAGTCAAGCATCATACCATGAGCTGGTATGATACCAGTAGCAGTGGAGTTGGAGCAAAACTTACTTTGGGGGGAGTAAAGTTTTATATGGATGCTATGCTATAGCTATAGACCCATTGCAGACACACCCATTTTGAGTAAATGAACACAGCAACCGCTGCTACCCGTACAAACAAACAAACAATTGAAACAAACGCTTTCTCGCCTCAGTGGGGCGAGCTCAGGCTCGCCCCAATTATTGAGGCGAGCCTGAGCTCGCCCATAGATATGGCTCGCCCCACTGGGGCGAGAAAGCGTTTGTTTGTTTGTTTGTTTGTTTGTTTGTTTGTTTGTTTGTTTGTTTGTTTGTTTGTTTGTTTGTTTGTTTGTACGGGCAGACCGACATGAGACCGTCTAACTATTATTAAAGTTAAATAGCCTAATCTTCATTGAAAGCTGGTGTGGTCACAATGATAAAATGGCGGCTATAAGCAAGCCTGAGCTTATTTTGCAGGAAACGGTCAGCTAGATAAGGCTAAACTGCTGTCTGAAACTTCTCTAGCAAGAATAAAATTTGGGAAAGCAGATATACAGTCTTTTCCTTAGTGTAAAGGATTCTGCTAAGGTGAATGCAAGTCAGTGAGAAAGCTGCATGTCAGTACTGTACTGCTAGCTGCATGCATCATGAGATCTATTCTAGGTGATGTTTCTTCTCT